ACTGAGACTCTACTAACAGGACTTGCTGTGAAGATATAATAATATATTTGTTCAGTGCTTGGGTATAACAGAGATGGTCTCTAAAGGAAAACCTTAGAAAATGGTAGGCCAGCGCCCCTGCTATTTCTACAGACTCCTAGCACTAGTAAAGAAAATGTAGAGTAAACAATAAAGAGAAAATTTAGGAGCCGATAGTGTGGCCACTTCTTACAGTGCTTTCACCTGAAAGTGTGCCATATTGAATTTACTTTTATTAACAAACAAAAAAACCCTAACACTGCAGATGTTTAATATTCCTGAGCTGCTTCTTTTTTTTTAAAAGACAGTTGTAATCAAGTATTGGAAAACACAAACCCTTCAATGCCAAGGGAAGACAAATTTTAAGTTTGTACAGGCTGTGATCAGTGATTTCAGTGACGCATCCAGAATTGTAAACTGTAATTGACTTTGTGTTTATAAATTATGCCAATCAGCTAGTTATTTTTGAAAGTTCAAATCCTATAATGTGTGTGTCTATTTTACAGTGGTACAGCACACCACTACTGGGTAGTACTTTCCTTCCTCATGCTGAGTAACAGTCACTATATGTAATGTTTTGCTAAAATGTTGCCAGACATTGTTTGTCCAAGCTTAAATCCCTTCTTGTTCCCACATTCAGCTACTCAAATCTGTCTTTCCATGTTCATGATCAAAGGAAAGTGCAACATGGAATGAAATAACTTGTATATCAACGGATTATGCTATAGAAATTAATTGCTTTTCTGCCCATTTTTCTGTTTGCCTAGGCAGTTTCTGCTTTAGCATATTGGGAAGAATGTAACTTGGATAATGAAACATACTTAATTTATCAGAATTGTGCATCTCCATTTCAAGTAAATTTGTTCAGTTTTATACCTTTCTATTTTGTTGAAGTTTAATAGTTTTTCAAACTGCTCTTAGGTAAGTAAAAAGATGTTTAATAAATGTGCCTGAAAGCAGGTTAAAAACTAACTTCAAATAAAAGAAAAGAAAAATATGGAACAGCATCAATTCAAGGACTTGAGCCGATGTTCAAGGTTTCAGAAAACCCCAAATCCACTCTGACTAGGTTTGCATTCTTAATCTTTATTTTTCACTCTGTGCATTAGGGTGCTACAAGCTGCTAGGGAAACAGCTGCAGATGACTTGGATATATGTTTCAATTAGGGTTACTTTTTTCCCTCCACTTCCTAGTTAGATGAGGCTTTGAACAGTCTGATAAGGTTAGTATAGAAAGTTTGAAGAACTTAGATTTGAAGCTAAGAAAAATAACTTTGGAGGTCTCTGATTCCAACGTGTCGGATACAGCGCCCCTGCCATTGAGCTGCAGAATTATTTGAAGAGTAGTGTCTGCTGGGGAGTGCATGAGTTTTTGCACTAGTGTGATGTTGTTGTCTTACTCTGTTGAAGGTGGTGTATACCTCAGTTTCTTTGCCACAACTGCAGAGAGCACAAGGAACACACCTTTTCTTCTTCTGGACTACACTTTCCTTTAGTCTAGCTTAATATTTTTTTGTAAATAGTTTAGACATGTATGAGAAGGCTATGAACCTTCAGCTCTCACTGGGACTATGTAAGGGCTTCAAGAGGTGCTCTTCTTGTCCAGTGATCGTACTTGAGACAAGCGCCCATGTCCAGTGCTTTCTATGTCTGGGTGAGACCCAGTGGGTAACCTAATGCGTGGTTTCCTGTGTCTTCACTTCCTCTACTAGATGGGGAAGAGATTTGAGGCTCATCAGTGATTTCTCAGTCTCCACAGTGTGATACTGTGACAGGCCCATCAATACTTCTGAGAGCCCAGCCTCTATTCTAAGGTCTTCTGACACAGGATTCGAAACACATTTTTGCCACTCTAGTCTCAGGGCCACGTTTTCTACTATTTTCTAATCACCAAGAAAAGGGGCACTCTGAGACTGATCCTGGATCTCAAAAACCTCAACAGGTACATTCAAGTTAAGGATGCTCATTTGTTATCCCTTCATTATCTCCAGGAGATTAGTATGCACTCTTGGTTTAAAAGATATTTACTGTCATTTGGAAATCACTCACATCAAATACCTGAGATTCTTTGTGTGAGGACGAGACACTACCAGGTGAGTCCTTCCTTTTGGCTGGTCCACAGCCGAATGAGTCTTCAAGTGCCTTGTGGTGGTTGCTGCTCACTTCAGACACCCAGGAATATTTGCCGACATATCTGGACGACTGACTCCGAAGGGTCAGCTCTTAACAGGAGTCTCCTCAGATCCTATACATTTGCATATTCCTCCAGTCTTGGAGACTATCAGTCAAATGGGAGAAAGTCCTCACTTCAACCTGTGCAAAGGATCACCTTCATCGGAGCTGTCCTGGACTCCACTTGGGCCAGAGACTTTCTTCCAGAAGAGAGATTTTTTTTGAAAATTCAAGACTCCTTGGCAAATCTTGGAACAACTACACAATTTTTCCAAAGACTGCTGGGCCTGATAGTCTCCTCATGACCTGTGTCACACCCTTTGCTCATCCGAATATGAGATCTTTGCAGCACTCTATGGTGCATTACTGCACACCAGTGGAAACCGTCTTCAAAGGAGACTTGAGTGTTCCAACAGCTTCATTGGTAGGAGAGCTCTTTTCTTTCTTACCATCACAATTGCCACGGATACCTGCATTTTGGGCTCTGATGCATACTGCCAAGACCACCTATTTCACGTGCTTTAGCCAGTGACTTCAACCATTTTAATGGTTTGACTTTCTTTAAAACTTGGCAGCCAACATGTACTGCTTAATATTATTTTTTGTATTTAAATTATTTTTAGGGCTTATAATAAGTTTGCCTTAATATAGGTTGTCAATTTCAAATTAAATATTGAATAGGTTTATTTTTAAAAAATGAACATGTACTTATTTTAAAGAGATTGATTATTTAAATTAGATTTTTTTATTTAAAAGTGTGGATTTTTGTTTTTTGGTTTAAATTATAGATTTTTTTTATGCATGCTGATTCTGACTGTCCTTTTTTTGCTCTTCTTGGAAATGTCCCACTTTGTAGCAGCCTTTGCAGGGAACTCTTTTTGTGTACTGTATATGTTTTTGTTTCAGACAAAATTGTAGTCCTAAGGTAAAAATTTCAAAAGTGATTTAGGCTCCTGTTAGAGAGACAAGATGGGTGAAGTAATATCTTTTATTGGACCAACTTCTGTTGGTGAAAGAGACAAGCTTTTGAGCTATGCAGAGCTCTTCTTCAGGTCTGAGAAACCTACTAAGAGTGTCACAGCTAAATACAAGTTGTAAAAGATTGTTTAACATAAGTAGTTAACTCATTGTAAGATACTATTCAGGGTGAAGTAGCCTGTTAACACGGCTGCAATCATAGGACAAAAAAGGGAGGTTAGTGGGTTACAGATTGTTGTAACAAGCCATAAATCCAGTGCCTTTATTTTAGTGAGGAGCAAAGTTATGAATTTAAGCTTTCAGGCTTGTCTGTTGAAGGTGTTGTGTAGGTTTCCTTTGAGGACTAGGACTGAGAGGTCAGATATGGAGTTGTCGTTTTGTGAAAAGTGTTTGCCCACAGGTGATATGGTATCTTTTGTCTTTTATCATTTTTCTCTGTGAATTCATTCAAAAGTGTAGTGTTTGTCTGGCTTCACCCACATAGTTATTGGGGTATTTAGTGCACTGGATGAGGTACACAACATATTGTGATAGGCATGTGTATGACCCATGGATCTTGAAAAGTGTGTTGAAGGGTATTGACCATTGTATATGTCTGCAAGTTTTTCATCAGTTATGGCAGGGTCTGGTGCTGCTTTGAGTTGGTGGGATCTGGTCTGTGGGGGACTTGCTTCTGATAATGAGGTTGGTGAGATTGCGGAGCAGGGCTGTCTGTTGTTTGAAGACCAGACGAGGGGGTTCGGGAAAGATTTATTTCAAGATGTGTTCCCCAACAAGTATAGGTTGTAAATATTAAATGATACGCTGTATGGATTCCAGTGTGGGGTGGTAGGTGACAGCTAGGTGCGTGCGGTCAGTGGGTTTTTTCCTGTTTTGAAGGAGTTTCTCTTGGAATATTTGGGTGGCCTGTTCCATGACATGATCTACTTCTCTGGGGGAGTGTCCTTGTTTGGTGAAGGCAGTTTTAAGCGTGTTAAGGTGTGTATCCTGGACTTTCTCCACTGAGTATATTCTGTGATATCTGAGTGCCTGGCTGCAGATAACAGGTTTCTTGGTGTATTTGGAGTGGTTACTTGATCTGTGTATGTAAGTGTGATGAGCCATGGGTTTCCTGTATACAGTGGTCAGTAGGGTTCCATTGCTGAAGCTGATCATGGTGTCCGGGAAGTTGATGCTGGTGCAGGAGTGTTCTAGAGAGAGTTTAATGGATGCGTGGTGATCATTGAAGTTGTGATGGAAATCAGTGAGGGAGTTTAGGTTCTGTCCAGAGGATGAAAGTATCATCAATGTATCTCAGGTATATAGTTGGTTTCATGGTGCATTTGTCCAGAAATTCTTCCTTAAGGTATCCCATGAAGAGGTTGTCGTATATTGGAGAACCACCCTACTACCCATGGCTGTTCCCAGGGTTTGGACAAAGCATTGTTGAATTGTTATAAAATTGTTATGGGTGAGGATGAAATGGATGAGTTTGACAGTATGCTTGGGGAATAGCTGAGTGTTGTCCATTGCCTTGTACATATGTGAGGCAGGCGGTGATGCCATCATTGTGAGGAATGTGGGTTATAGGGAGGTGACATCCACAATGACAAGGATGGTGTTCTGAGGGAGGTTGTTAATGTTGTGGAGTTTCTAGAGGAAGTTGGTTGTGTCTTGAAGGAAGCTGGCCCTTTGTGTGGTGAGTGGCTTGAGGCTGGTTTCTGTAAGTCCTGATATTCCTTCAGTAAGAGTGCCATGACCAGATATGATCTGTCTGAGTGGGCTTCTATGTCACTTAGGTGTCTTTGAACGTTTTACCCCAGTTCTTAATGTCACATCTCTTTATATTTCAGGTACATGCAAAGTTTCCTTGAGTTTTTAGAATATGAAAATAAAAGCCCTGAGGATCCTCATATTCTGGATAAGTAAGTAATGATTTATTTTAGAAGTAAAACCACCATAGGAAAACGATCTGTTACAAGCCAGGATTTCTGTTTATTGTAACAGCACAGAAGTAATCAAATTTGTAATGTAGAATTCAGGTAGTTAAGGTTGAGTTTGTACTAACTCAAACATAAAATCTAAGTTTGTTTGAACAACCTATGCTGTATCCTGCTAGTTCCTAACTTGCAATACTGTATAATGTGTTAAAGTAAAGGTATGTAAAAGAAAAAAATTATATATAAATAAAGGTATACTAAAGGTACCAAACACTTTTAATACCAAAAAAAAAAAAATACTTAAGTACTCTGTTTTTCTTGAGCTCAGGTACTCTATTATAGTATTTTAATGTATTATGTTAATGTATTAATATTTCAAACAGGTCTATAACTTGGAACAGAACACTTACCATACAATAAAAATTACTTCGGGTGAAATCCTGTCACTATCGGAGTCAATGGGAGTGTTGCCATTGATTACAATGGGGACAGGATTTAACCCTTCATTGCTATCTATCAGAGCTGAATTCAGACTAATGACTTTGAAGTGAAAGGTTTCATGGCCCAAATTCAGACCAGAGAAAAGCAAGCCACAACTTCCACTGAAGATCAATCTTATTCTGATTTTCTTACTGCCAGTAACAAACACTCTACCTCAGATGAGAAAGTCATGCTAGCTCCTTTCTTGCTCATGCATCAATACCATTAAAGAAAAGATTCTGTGTTTTTAATTACCTTAGATGTTTAATAAACTGCAGTGTAGAGAGTCCATCCAATACTGTAGGCACCCTTGACACTCTTAAAAATATACTAATAAATAGGCAGACCCATCAGTTACCCAAAATCTTATCAAATAACCCAGCAACAGCATAAATATAACAAAAACTAATCAACAGACTCCAACACCACTGCTATTCAGCCCTGTCCTACATTCATATCTTCATAGTCAAGGGAGAAAAGGTGGGGACTCTGAAGGCTAATGGACTTGGACTGTTACAGAGTTGAGGAGGAAGCAAGTTCCAAAAGTTCTCCATTACATCTGTATAACCATTTGATTCCTTTGAGTTTACACAGGTATGACTGAACACAGAATTTGGCCCTTCATTTGAAACTTGGTAGACAATTTTGTTGATGATGCATGAGAAGGAATAAACTCTGCTGATGCTCCCTCAGTTATATTGGTTCTGCAGTGCTAACAGTATTGAAGTAATAAGTTCTTTTAGTCATTAAAGTAAACAGATTAGACTTGGTGCTGATCTGTTGAGTAAGATGTAGTGTTTAGTTTTTTCCTGTGTAGACCAGGACAGCACTTTAAACTGACGTTTCTAATAGCTATATTCTCTTCCAAAAAGGTAAATAAGATATGTCCTCATGCTTCATTCTTGGTTTTTAAGTGATTCTCAAACTTCATCACAGATTTCTCACTCAACTTGTATACCAATTCCATTTAAAATGAGTCCCTCTGCCTGTCTCTCATTCTAAATCCTTCAAGTGGAAGATTTTCTCCATAAGCTGGATATCAAAAATGCCTTCCACTTTTATGTGGAGAGATGAAAGTTTTTGCATAACTCTTTTCTTGTGTTTAGGTCAAAAAGGGTTAACCTATCCAATCAATAGTAATCTAAATGGATAGTCACTTGAATTGTGACTTATTCAGAAATTGCCATTACAGAAGGTTGCCACGCTTACTCTGCTAAAGCTGTGGTGACGCTCTTGTGTTGATACAAAAGCCAGATCAGAAGTTAGATCTGATACACGTTTTGGTAAAACTTCTCCTTCGGTCTGTTTACAAATTATGGAGCTCTTCAGCCTTGCAACAGAGGGGTTAATGCTAGGTAATCTCTGTGAGTGGGGACATCAGTGAAAGATTTTTCATGAAAAATACAAGGTTATTTGCCAATAGAGTTCTCCAAATGTATTGACTACTAAGATCTACGGATCTTGTTACATCATCTCAGCTTGTCTTCATGTAGCTACTGTTTCTGGATAGACAGTTATAAAATGAAGGGGTAAAGAACTCCTCTTCTTCTTACTGATGCTGCCTTCATGCACATCTGCCAAAGCACATGAAGTTGACTAGGTTCAACCAGTTTTCTAAGAATTCCTGCTCTGTGCAACTCAATGTTACTTACTATGGGTTTGCTGAAATAGTATGCAGTATTTTGAAAACTTGGCTACTAGTGACTAACTCAGAATATTAATAAATTTCTTCATTCTGGTGTCATGTGAGCTTTGTTTGAAATAATTGGTGCTCTTCTACAGTCTAAAGTGAAAATATCAGGGGCCAACTTGACCGACATGGGGCATAGCAAGATTAAGGAAAAGTGGTAAACTCATAAATAAACAAATATATTCAGGTTGTTAGCCTTTTTAAAAAACGTTTCGGTCTATCTTAGTTCATAGACAGAAATATCTTCAAGAGTGAAGCAAAGCATCTTTGAAGATAGGACGAGGAGCAGTTGCATCCCAGAAATAACTAAAGATTCCTTTATAATACATGTTGTCCTCTGTACCACTGAAGGATTCTGGTTTCTAGGCAGGCATGCTTTCTGATGTGAAACATAAAGAAATTCAAGTTTGTTTCCTTGTAGCACTATATCTCTATTTGCAGAAGAGAAAATAAGATTTTATGTTACTGTACTTCTTTGCAACCAAAAAAATGATTTTGCCATTCACAGCTAGGAAGCAAAGGACTGAAACCTCTCTTTTCTTGGCATTTAACTCTGAGATTTCAGTGGTTACAGATCACACATAATCAGAAAGGCCTAACCTATTTAAAAGAATCTCTGAAGCCTTAAGCATTAAAGTAGTTTTGAAGAGGGGATGCTTGTCCAATCATCAAGGTAGGTGAGAATGTAAGAACAGCCCTTCTTTATTTTAAAAGTCTTTAGATTTGGGATTAGGCAGTGTCTGTTAAGACGTCCACATTACTGCTTATTTTGCAAAGTATTATGTCATTTTGAAAGACTAGATGAGCCATTTGTGGAGGCACTTAAGAATTTCTGATTAGATGGGAGATGGTGAATATGTTATTTTAAAAGAGGAACATTCCTTCACAATCAGCAATGTAGGGTGAAGGGGAAAGCATCTTTAGGGAAAATGGATACAATTATTACTCATTAAGAGAGGTACCTGTGACATTACCCAAGGTACAATCTGGACTGTTGAACAGCAGTGGCCACTCAATTCTCCAGCCTGGGGTGCCTTTTATACTGTTTACTGTGAGAGCAACCACTCTTGCTCAGCTCACACGCAGCCTTCAGCATGTGAATTACTCCCAGATACTACTTTGAGTGCTACAGCCATCCACCAATGAATTAAGCTGCAGGGCAACACCAGCAAACTCCCAGTCCCAGACTTTCCCCCAGACATGTGCATCTTGTAGTGCCCAGCTCTCTCCTTCTGGACAATACAAGCTCATATAAAGTCCATCATTTCATTAATAGAAAAGTATATGCCCAAATCCAGTTACCTGGAATGGAGTTTCCCAAACACACTGGTTTAGATAAAACAAGTTCATCAACGACAGAAAGAAAAATTTTAGGTGATTACAAGTAATGAGGCATACAAGTCAGAATTGGTTATAAAAAATAAAAGGTAAAATGCAATTAATATCTAATTTAACAAGCTAAATGAATTCCAAGCAAAGATCTCTCTCACCACATGCTTACTGGCTGGATTCCTTTCAGCCACAACCCCTCCCGCAGTTCAGTGTTAATTTCCTTGTCCTTTGGGGGTGTTGGTGCTGTGGGCAAAGAGAAAGGGGGGAATCTTTTGAGGTGTCTGCTCTCCTTTTATCCCTAAGGGCATGTCTGCACTTACCTCTGGAGCGATCGATCCAGCGGAGGTCGATTTATCATGTCTTCAAATCGACTGCGAAGCGCTCTCCCGTCGACTCCGGTACTCCACTGGAGCGAGAAGCGTAGGCGGAGTCGAAGGGGGAGCGTCAGCAGTTGACCTACCACAGTGGAGACACTGCGGTAAGTAGATCTAAGTACGTCGACTTCAGCTACGTTATTCACTTAGATCGATCCCTCCCCCCCAAGTGTAGACCAGGCCTTATAGTTCTCTTTTTCTTTGAAAATCATCTCCAGCTGAGGTTCAGAAGACAAAAAGTCTGTGGCGATGGGAACCTTCAACCGTTTCTTTGCCAAGATATACCTTTACATACAACGTTGCCCACACACATTGGACTAGGACAATAATTGGCAAATTATGAGTTTTCAAATGATACCTCACAAGGCATATTTTGTTCAAAATGTATCATAGACTTGTAAAAGGGATGAACATAGGGATACAGACTGTCACAGTACATTTTACTTCCCAACAGTGCTATAGGCCAGAAGAGTATAAGAAAGTGGGAAATAGATAAGGTTCTAAGAAACTGATAAAATGGCTTTTTTTCCCTTTTTAACTTTGAGGAATGGTGTGAGATAAAGTAAAGAGGGACAGACTAGAGGCATCAGTCTCCACTTTAATTGGGTTTATCACAGGAATGTTTAAAACTTCTGAATACCCCATAAAGAATCCAGGGATGTGGTGAGAATTCCTTTGTTTGCAAATAAATAATTAAAGCCCCTTTTGAGTACTTGCAACTTTAATCTGAGAGGTTATATATTGACTTTTAGGCCTTATCTACACTACAGAGTTTTGTCTCCAAAAGTCAGTTTTTGTCGACAAAACAATGGAGGTGTACTCACTACAATACTCCTTCTGCTGACAAAATTCTCCTGCTTTGTTGACAAAATAAAACTACCTTGACAAGAGGCTTAGAGCTTTTTGTGGGAAAGTTACATCAACAAAGTGTCAGTGTAGACAATATGCTTGGTTATGTTGCTGTATATGGCCTACAGGAGGTGCCCCACAATGCCCATTCTGAATGCTCTGGTCAGCAATTAGACCTCTACTGCCCTGCAGCCAGGTACACCCCTCCCCCTTTAAAGACCCAGGAATTTTTGAAATTCCACTTCCTGCTTGCTTGGCATGGATGGTTCATATTGCATCTTCCCAGCTGACCATGGAGGCTCCACACAGCAAATGCTTTCCCGCTTGGAGCACACCTGAGTTGTTGGATATGCTGGCACTGTGGAGAGAGGAGGAGGTGCAGTCCTAGCTCCACTCCAGCTGTAGGAGCTTCGATACCTACAGTCAGATTTTTCGTGGCATATTGGAAAAGAGCTACGAACAGCACACATATCAGTGCTGCGCAAAGATAAAAGATCTGAGGCAGGTGTACCAGAAGGCAAGAGAGTCAAATGGTCACACTGGTGCTGCGCTGAAGACTTACGGCTTCTATAAGGAGCTGGATGCCATCCTCAGCAGTGACCCCACCTCCACTGCCAAGAGCCCCATGGATACTTCGGCAGGGTTGGAGACAGTGGACTCGACCCCGAGGACGAAGTTGTGAACGAGAGGTTGAGTTGGAGGATGAGATGGGACAGGCAATAGGGTCATCTGGTACCATGGCAAGCCAGGACCTCGTCTCGACCCATGAGGGTTTGAGCCAATCCCAGCACTCTGTCTCTGGTGTGCATGATGCACGCGTGGGGAGCTCTGGTAAGTGATCTTCTTGAGTTGATGCTGCATATGAGGTAGAGTGTCCTTTTCTTTGTTATATTCTAGAAGTGGATGAAGGGATAGATATGTATGAGACTAGTTGTGTTTGTGTGTGCCTCACATTCCCCTGTGGAGCAACGGAACAGTGTTAATGTGCACAGAGATTTCACGGGAATCCTCCAGAGAGATTTCTAGGAAACTTTCCTGGAGGTACTCACCAATTCTCTGCCAAAGATTCCTTGGCAGAGCTGCTTTGTTCCTTCTCCCATTGTAGGAAACTTTCCTGAAATCCCTTATGCAGGGACCGAAGTGCCACACAAGCGAGCAGCATAAGGACCTGATCTGAAGCCCCACGCATGCATGAGATGCACTCTTGCATCCATGCTTACCCTCAGGATTGAGATAATGGCTGTGGAAAATGGTGGCAGAATTTTCAATTTTGTACCTCGTCGCCTACAATGATCCCCTTAAAAAAGCCACTTAGACCCTTTGCCCCATCTTGAGCATCCTGACCCCTGGGCCGAATTCACCATATTTAGGGCATTCGCCGAGCTGTGTGTTTGCCAAGAGACAGTGAGAAACTGATTCGTATTTAAAAAGATGTGTATTTTACTATAATGATTTGATGCTGGAGTGCACTAACAATCATGCTTGTGTTTGTTGTTTATTGTGGCTTTCAGGGAACCCCCTATAAACTTGCGGAGCACCTCCGCCAGATAAGGAAGCAATCGAGGAGGAGTAAGGAGGACATGTTTCGAGAGGTGCTCCAATCCTCAGAGACTGAAAAACAAGAACGCAGGGTGTGGAGAAAGACTTTAAATAAAAATTATAAAATAGACAGGCAGGGCAGAAAGGACAGCCAGGAGTGAATTTTAATGGGCCAGGAGTGGATGATAAAAGTGATGGAGGAGCAAACGGAGATGTACAAGTCCCTAATCACACTGCAAGCAGAATACACGCGTGCTTGACCCCCCTGCAGCCGATGCAGAACTGCTTGCCATGCCCTCCCCAAACTGTTCCCAAACATTCCTTGCAACCTCCCGTCTTGGTACCCCATTCACTCCACCCATTCAGACAGCTTCCAAAATGATAGCTGGACTTACACAAAGCTATGAGAGCCTACACTGCCCTTCACTGTTATCTCCCTTCCACCAAGTGTTTTGTGTGTGTTCTTAATTGGTATTTAATAAAAACATACTTTCTGAAAGATAATCTTTATTTGTCTCCTACACATGGTGGTTTCTGCAGCAATTAATACACAGTGGCAATTGGATTATTTGTGGACTACAAATCACGGTCAGGAATCATCAAATTTTTCATGCAAGGTGGCAAGTTAACAAAGCATGGCAGAATGCTGTATAGAAAGGCACATTACTGGTGCTCATTGTCAAAATGGTGCCTCAAAGCCTCCTTGATTTGAATAGCCCCCGTTGTGTCCCTCTAATAGCCTCAAAATCAGCCACCAGGTGATCTGCCTCCACACTCCACCCCAGAGGAAACTTTTTACCCTTAACCTCACAAATATTATGGAGAGCACAGCAGGCCTCTATGACCATGGGAATATTTTCCTCATTTAGATCTAACCTGCCACAAAGGCAGTGCCAGTGTGCTTTTAATCCGTCAAACGCACATTCTACTGTCATTCTGCACCTGCTTAGCCTATTGTTGAAGCACTCCTTGGTTCTGTCTAGGTTTCTCTTGTAAGGCTTCATGAGCCATGGGAGTAATGGGCACACTGGGTCTCCCAGGATCATTATGGGCATTTCAACATCCCCCATTGGAATCTTCTGGTCTGGAAAGAAAGTCCCCGCTTGCAGCTTTCTGTACAGGCCAGTGTTCCTGAAGATGCGTGCACCCCACATTGATGTCAGTGAAACACCCATGGTAATCCACAAACGCCTACAGTACTGTAGAGAAGTACTCCATCGCAGGATGGTCCGGAGCCAAAATTGGGATGTGTGTGCTATCTATCGCCCCTCCTCAGCTAGGGAATCCCATTGACGCAAAGCCATCCACTATTTTACGCACATTTCTAAGAGTAACAGTCCTTCATAGCAGAATGTGATTAATAGCCCTGTACACTTGTGTTAATGCAGCCCCAACGGTCGATTTCTCAACTCCAAACCATGACCGACCGGTAGCAGTCTGGAGTTGCCAGCTTCCACGTAGCGATTGCCACGTGCTTCTCCATTGAGACGGCATCTCCCATTTTGGTGTCCTTGCCCTGCAATGCTGGGGCGAGCTCTTCACCCAGTCCCTGGAATGTGGCTTTCCGCATCAGAAAGTTCTGCAGCCACTGCTCATCATCCCAGACCTGCATCACAATGCGATCCCACCATTCAGTGCTTGTTTCCAAAGCTCAAAAGCAATGGTCCACCATTTGCAGCTGCTCTGTGAATGCCAAAAGTAATCTTGTTTCCATGGCACACAGAAGGTCCATGGCACACCTCTGATTCCTGTTCAGCTTGTGATATACTGCATGACCATGTGCAGTGTGTTCATAACAGTGACCACAACAGTAGACAGCAGTGCAGGATCCATCCTTTCAGACTGAGATGGCAGGCGCACAGTAAGCGGGCCGTTGGAAATGCCGCAGAATGCAGTCAGAAGCCTATGGAATGATGGGATGGAAAAAACTGCATCATAGGACATTGTCTGCACCCATGATGCATTGCAATCAACTCCGCCTTCCCACAATTGCTAGCTGCAGAAAATGGCGAGTAGCACAGTGGGATAGCTACCCACAGTGCATTGCTCTCACTGTTGATGCTAGAGCACCAACCGTGGACATGCTTTGCCATCAGAAAGGGTGTTATGTGAACATGCACAAGCAATGTGATTATAGTGGTTTTTGATCGTCAGCATAACTTGTGTTGACAAAACTCTGTAGTGTAAACAAGACCTTAGAAGACGTAAATACTAGTGACTAATCAGTCTTCCATTTTCTATAACTTCATACAATCTAATGTATTATTATTTGCTTCCAGAGGTGGTCCTTAGTTTAATGAATTATTCACCCAGTTTGTCAAATACTTTTCTTCTGTGATCATTATAAAGCCATTGAGAATTTGCGTCAGAGTTAGCATATAAAAAGACTCCCGAGTTTTGCAGACACAGCTACAACTTAATAAAAGCGTCACCATCTTTGCTTCCTTTTGAAAAGTATGTTGCATTTGTTTCTATTTGATCCTGAAGGAAGGGAAAAAGCATTATTGTCAATGTAGTATATGATCGTCATTAATGTCAGTGATGTGGCAGAGGTGAAGATTGCTAACTTTTCATGTTTTAAGATTAATAAAAAGATATTAAGTCATCCTTCTTTAAAATGTGAATGGTTCTTTTCAATATTTTGTACCTCAAAAGAATTGTATGTAAAAGGAAAGGGTAATTCTTTAAATATCACAGGCTCTGGTCTGCTTTGACAAGAAAGTAACATTTTCCATCTATTTTAGAATATATGCCTACTGTTGTCTTGCATCAATACCATTAAAAAGAATAACTGAAAGTAAGCTCCTAAAACTTCTTGATCTCAAAGGGGAAGATACTACAGGAAAAAGGAGAAAGCGCCATTGTGTGTTTTCTGCCCTCTAGAGGCATAAAAAGAAACTGAACAGAATTGTGTCTGTGCACATGGCAATACTACTTGTTACTTAAACATAACCATCCTCATAAATTCCTTCCATCTGGTATCTACTCTAAAAACAAACTGGGGGGACACCTTTCTGGTAATTCTGATAAACAGCCAACTGGTCTCTTCTAAGTCATCTCCCCACCAGTCCACTGTCTCCTGCAGAATTTGCGAACCAAGCAGAAGTAGTGACATCTGTTCTGGATTGTCAGAGAAGAAAGGTCTGGAGAAAACACAATTTTAAATAAATTGTTATGGGACATAACTAGAGTTATCAAGAGGCCTTGAATGTTTACAGTAGTTTGAACATACTGTTGCACCCTAATATATTTCCCTTTAGCATAACGTGTGGTAGATAGTAATGTAGGTGGACTTCTGTTCCTTTGATAAACTTTTGGAGACTCTGGGGGATAAACAATAAGAAACTCTTATATGCAAATGAATATTTGAAAACAGCGGTGTGAGATGCAGAGATTCCTGTTACTCTAACATTCTGTTTCTAATTTTGTGTTTCTTTCAGCTTTTTAGAAGTTTTAATTAAAGTAAGGAACAGACACAATGATGTGGTTCCTACCATGGCTCAAGGGGTGATTGAGTACAAGGAAAAGTATGGCTTTGATCCGTTTGTTAGCAGTAACATCCAGTATTTTCTAGATAGGTTCTACACCAACCGCATCTCTTTCCGCATGCTTATTAACCAGCACAGTAAGTAATTGCTTTGTTTTTCAACTTGGAGGAATACTTGGTTGTTGCTTATAAACCTAAAATGACAGCATTGATTTGGCATTCCTCGCACCAATGACTAATTTTAATATTCTGAGGTGAAGATGGTAGATGATATATTGTGACAGTTGGTTATTTAAGTAGTGCAGTATTTTTGAGGTGTCTAGAAATTAATTTGAACCACTAAGCAGAATAACAGCCCTGTATTCCAAAGTGATAGGCTTGCAGTGAAGCTCAATAGTTCTATTTTGTCAATGTGACTACATTTTTTTTTCCACCCTGTTAGCAGATACAGTGTGCAAGGCGATGTATAAGGTATTTTTAGGTACTAGTAAAATAACTACATCTTCTCTGCCTACCAGTCCGCTCTGTAGATTTGACACGTTTCATCATCAGACAAAAAAGTCTTCCACCTTTTTAATTTTGTTGTGTTTATGAGTAGTGTTTGTTCACTGTGCATATTTTAAGAGCTAAATAGTTTCCAGCAAATTATGCTGTCTCCTGTTGTTAATTCACCAACCTCTTTTTTTTCTTTTCTAAAAACACTATTTCTCACCTGAGATTTCAATTGTTATTCTTCCCTTTATTAATCAACACAGTAGTTCTGATTTTCATACTTTTCCCTCAAATTAGATTCTCAGGTTTGTATTGTTTAAGTATCCATTGTTGGTATTCATCTTGTAGTGTGAAAGGAATTACTTACATAGCTCCCAGTAACCAATATTTGTTGCATTTCAAAGTTAAGGTCAATCTTGTGATCTCTTGAAGTGTATATTTGCATCATGGGCTCTAGGGTTTCATTCCCTGTCCAATATTTTTCTGTTTGTGACATCTTAGAAACATGGGCACACTACATATGGTAGGGTTATATGGTAGGAAAAACGTTAAATCCAGGGTGTATTACTAACAATTACATATGTATCCAGTAACTCTTATTTATAATATGACCAGTGAAAGGTGTTAACTGCATTAGTATAACAAGGCTAAAAAGATTAGAATAGTATATCCACTTAGCAATAAATCTGGCCAGACATAGAAACAAAGACAACAAAGCTAGATAAATAAAAAGGCCCCTCTTAGAAAATAAATGTTAATAATAAATAAAGGTTTCATCCTATCAGAGTTTGTAGGTCTAGTCTAAACACAACAGTTGCACCCGTTTAACTAACTGTGATGTTAACTGGTTTAGTTAGCTGGTGCAACGTTGAGTCTGGACACTCATACCAATTTAAACCTGGCTTATATAATTACTTTGTACAAAGTTGCAGCAGTTTAACTAAACCAGTTTAATATTACACCTTTAATCAAACTGGTGGAATTTCTTTGTGTAGACAAACTCTAGTGATCCGGCCTTGATTAGTTAAGGGCAGATTGCTCTCTTAAGTGTTGAAAGAGAGATGGCTAGGACAAGTTTTGAAAACAGAGGCTTCATGTAATTTGGCCTTGACCCCTACAGAATTCTATTTAATTTATTGTTGACGAATGGATGCTAAGTATTAGAAACCTTTTATACTTACAGTTCCTACCTACTGGGACCTTCTTATTGTAACATCCTCATTATTGTAATAGCTGTGCACTGAGATAATTATATGAATTCATTTGTATCTGTACTGACTCTAGTCTATCCTGAGAACTATGAGACTTTTTCTCTTCCTTCTGGATAGACATAAATGGACTCCAGTGCATTCATTTCTCATATTATATCAGATATTGCAAGCTATAATTTTTAAACAAAGTTTTCCCTAGAGAGAGGGCAATAGTCTTGATCAGGGACTGACATTATGGTGAAGTATCTTTTTGCAGAGTGACACCGAATCTTTTCAACACATTATCTGATTTAACTTTTTTATGTTGTTTTAAATGTAATAGCCATTCACTTAACTGTCAACTTTTTTTCCTCTTAGCACTTCTTTTTGGTGGAGATACTAATCCTGCTCATCCCAAGCATATTGGAAGTATTGATCCTACCTGTAATGTGGCTGAGGTAGTAAAAGGTAAGGAGATAAATTTAATATTTGTATTATGTTTCAAACCCCAATTTACACTTATACATACATAACTAGTTAAGGTGTCCAAGACAGAAAATATATTTCCATTTAATTAAAATTTTAAAAAACCTCTAAGGAATGATACACATTCAGTTGCTTATAGTGAGGCCATAAAAATATCAAAGTTCCTAATAATATTAATAATATCTAGCTCTTACAGCACTTTTCATCTGTAGATCTCAATGTACTTTACAAGGAAGGTGGGTACAGTTATCTCCTTTTAACATATCGGGAAACTGAGACAGAGGTGAAGTAAAGGCTTGTCCAAGGACACCCAGCAGGCCAGGGGCAGAACTAGAACTGGAACTAGAACTCATGTCTCTGTGTCTTAGCCTGGTGCTTTATCTACTATATCACACTTTCCAGTGGCCTCAAAATCCAAAAATCTGAAACTAGTGGAATGTTAATATAGCTACAAAAAATGGAATTATAACTTTATCTTGTACTACAAGGACCGATTAAAGTTTTTTATCCTTTTCTTATGTTTGATGTGGTGGTTAAATTATTTTCCAAAAAGTATTTAAGAATACATATTCTACTTGACATCCTTTCTAAAGGAAATCAAGGAAATACGTAATCATCTGTTCTTGTACAATTATTCAAGTAAGGCTCTACAATAAAGAAACAAACACCATAAGAAAGTGAGGTTATAATTACTCCTGGGGGAATTCTGTTGCACTGCGTGCACGCATAATTAATGAGCCATACATAATTTTAATTTTTTTGTGCAGAAAAAAGCTTCTGCTGGAAAGTTGCTGCAATTACACCTTTTGCTCACCAGAGGGCTCTATGGCACTAGAACGGAGCAGCCTCCCCCACCAGTCCCATCAGAAAATACTGTAACTTCACTGGAAAGTTGCTGCAGTTCTGCCTTTTGCCCACCAGAGGGCTCTGTGGAGATAGAACAAAGGGCAGCTCCCAGCCAGCTGGGGAAGACAGAACCTGCCTTCTTCACAATGCCTGTCCGGCGATGTCAGGAGACAGGGGCTATGGGGAGACAGACAGCGTGGTGCTGCTAGGGGATCAGACAGGGGCTCATAAGGGCTAGTGAGGGAGGACAGACTGGGGCAGGAGCTGAATGGGAGTGGAGGCATAGGGCCACAGAGGGGAGGGAGGTGCAAGGCCAGCTAGGGAGATGAGGGTGTCTAAGTGGGAGCACAGAGACACATGGGAATGGTGGAGGGGGTGCAGGGCCACATAGGGACAGGGGGTGGCTGAGTGAAGGCACAGAGACACATGGAGATGGAGGACAAGGAGAAGGGGTGCAGGGACACCTGGGGACGGGAGGAGGTGCAGAGCCACGTGGGGATGGGGAGAAGGGATGTCTGAGTGGGAGTGGAGGGACACGTGGACAGGAAGTTCAAGGACACATGGGGGACAGGGGCAGATGTGCCTGACTGAATGGGAGAGACTAGAGGTCAGCCAGGGTCTGCATGGGGGAAGCTCCCTAACAATTCCTCCCCACCCCCTGCAAAAAACCTATTCCATACTTTTCCCACCCATACCCAACAACCTTCCAAGTTCACACCCACGCTCCTTCCCAGCAATTACTTCCCTCTCCCTCAAGTCCGCTGTCACCCCGACTCCCCCCAAGCCTTTGCACTGCTTCTGAGGGGTGCAAGAAATATATTTCTGTAATGTACTTTAAATGAATTATTACTCAGAGTTCTATATTAATAATCCTGAATCTTTTTTGTTGTCTGTAACAGTACAGACATACTTGCTGACAGGTATTTGAAATAAATGATCAAAAATAATTGAATCTGATGTGATTATATTGTGGTGTTTTGAAAAATAAAATATGCAGAATTGAAAATATTGTGCGCAGAATTTTTAATTTTTTGTTGCAGAATTCCCCCAGGAGTATTACAATACAGGAATAATCTTCAGATATTTAGAAACTCTTGGCTTTTGTCTTTGGGCACCAAGCATATAGGGAAGTTTTGATATAACTGTACACCTTGTCACACAGTGTTGCTCCCATGGAGCATGCGTGTGTGTGGACACACACACACAAATGTTCCATATGCACATGAATAAATGCACATGCATATATGTGTTCTATACATATACATCTGAGCATATACACACACAAACATTGGGTACCTATTAGTGTCGTCTGTGTATGGAATGTGAATTCTCAGTTGATACATTCTCATGTGAAGACATATTGGCCAACTATGCCAGATGTAATCTAGTGGAAGAATATTGGGATGCCATATGAGAACTGGTGTTGGGCATCAAATCTTGGTCTTTAGTTCTTGGGTTGACAAGGGCTATGAACATAGTGGAAGCAGAAACCATTTTACACCCATGAGAGGAGGTATCCATGCTGTTCTCTGTTGATCTGATTTCCTCCATATTAACTCAAAGAGCAAAACTGATTGCCTCTAAGGGAGTGTTCCCACAATGCTTTAAAAGAGGGGAGAAAAATGAAGAAAATAGTTGGAGGGAATCCTTAGTGCTAGGAGAGGGTATTATGATCCTTATGAAGGAAGGAGAGACACCACGTGAGAAACTAGTGGAACACAAAGCACCTTTTTAAAACTACGGAATCTATCCATGTACGTACTTGAAAATTTTATTTTGATATATGCTATAAAATACATAATTTGTGTAAGCAACAGTATAGAAGTTCAAGTATATTAAAAAGGAAGAAAAAGGACATGCTAAACCCTACAGAATAAGTTTGTTCAGCAAGCCTCTAATACAGCAGAATTACAAAGCATTTTTTAATATTTAAGTAGCAGCTGCCTAAATATATATACTAATTGCATAGTACTGATTGCAAGTGGAACTGTATTCAAGCAATGTGATACTTTATTTCACCCTTTGTTATACATTTGTGTATCAGTTGATGTGTCTGTAATGTTTCACTTACAGTCTTGCTGCTTTATAAGCATTTGAAGATTAATATTAACCTTATCCCAGTTTTGCTTTTGGAGTAAGTAGTCTATCCCTAAGTGACCTCATTTTTACTGAGCTTTTTTAAAAGCAGTTTTTGAATGTTTAGTGAAACCATGTGAAATGTAGTATATGAATTATAAATAACTATAAATTACAGAACTTGAGAATAAATTATAAGAGTTTGCGTTATTTTGATATCAAAGAATTCTAACCCCATAGATTCAGATTTTCTTTCTTTTTTATGAAGTCATTGCAGTTGCAAATTCTTCATAAATTAGTATTTTCCAGTATACATAGTAATTGGTGAAACAGTTTATTTTTATCAGTTAACGATGGCTGCCTTATAAGAAGTGCTGTTTTGTGCAGTGTGTTTTCAAGATAGCTGTTGTGTGCATTGTGTTGCAATTTTTTGTCAGCAGGTGGAGATATGGCATAGATTGCCAAAGCAGGAAATATAATCAAAATGGATTCTTGATGTTCCTTTGATTTTTGTTTTTCTGTTCTAAACCATAATAATTATTGATGCCATATTGATGAGTCTTGAAATTTAAGCTACTGAATTACAACATTTAAATCTAACAAGTATTGATAGGCACGGCTATATAATCCTTAATCACTTGAATCGTTTTGTTATAGTGAGACAGTAGCACCACTAGTTAAAGATGAGACTAGAGTTGATGAATAATTATTTTTTGATTCAGTGGCTGAACTGAAAAATCAGAAGGGGAAAAAAAAAGTTTCAGACTGAAACTTGAATTTATTAGTTTTTTCTTGATAAAACAAAAAACTGAATTTTTTTTTATTCAGGTAAAATGAAATATTTTAATATCAATTTGAAATGATATTTTGAAACAAAATGTTGATATGAAATGACATTTTTGAAATTTTCATGTTGGGGTTTTTTTTCCAGCTAAAACTATTTGCTGAATTTGACCCAAATTTTCATAGTTTCAGTGCCCCTCAAAATGCATTTTCTTGGGAAATTTACTATTTGCCAAATAAAGTCACCCACCTCTAGTTGAGACTAGCTTACTGGTTTTTCTAAGTGCACTAAAATCCACATGTTTATTTGTTGAAAGTTGCTGTGTCTTGAGGAGGCCTGGGGGCAGGGTTAGTGTTCAAATGACCTCATATTTTGACTAAGGGACACCCCAAATATTCCACCAAACCAAAAAACTAACATGCTGTAGCCAGTGAACCTGAGAAGTACCCATGTGCGGTGAGTTTGAGCTCTGCCCTAAGTAGATTTCAAAGAATGTATATTTTGTGCAAAGAGTCATAGCAATGTAGGACTGGAAGGGACCTCAAGAGGTCTTCTAGTCCAGTCTCCTGCATCCAAGGCAGCACTAAGTAATAACTAGACCATTCCTGACCGGTGTTTGTCTAACCTGTTCTTAAAAATCTTCAATGATGGAGATTCCACAGACTCTTTAGGCAATTTGTTCCAGTGCTTAGCTGCCCTGACAGTTAGGAAGTTTTTCCTAATGTCCAACCTAAACCTCCCGTGCTGCAATTTAAGTTAATTGCTTCTTGTCCTATCCTCAGAGGTTAACGAGAATATTTTTTCTCCCTCCTTGTAACAACCTTTTATGTACTTGAAAACTGTTACCATGTCTCTCCCCCTCCCCACCCCCTCCCAGTCTTCACTTCTCCAGACTAAACAAACCCAGGGTTTTTTTTTCAATCTTTCCTCATAGGTCATGTTTTCTAGACCTTTAATCATTAGTTGCTTTCAGCCTGTACTCTGCATGGTCTTCTTCTGGAAGTTGTGCCCTGAGGATACAGTTTCTGGTTTAAGAGCCATGTTCTGAAATCCACATGCTTAATCAGATTTACGTTAGAAGCATTGCCAAGGAAAATTGAATTAATTAATTAGAGGGAAGATGAAAGACTCTAGTAAGCAGCAGCATTCGGTTAATGTGATCGTGATGCATGCTTCTCATCCCATTCCTGACCAATGGGGCTAATACTCTCAGCAGTGTCAGTGTGATCAAAGGGATTGCTGAGGATCAAGATATGCACCCAGGATAGAGAGCTCT